TAGTATGTCGAGACGACAAATATGATAAAGAAAGATAAGAAAGAAAATGAAGAAATTGGAGATAGTGAAAAGAAGTCGGAAGAAATGAAGACGATAAAAACAAGCAGGAAGAAATCACAGATATTGAAGAAGAAATAAAAATTAAGGAAGAAACATATTTTAAGATTTTGTTTTTTTGTACAATATTTTTTATCGGAGGTAACACATATAAATACCATTTTATTTATGTATGATAGATATTATAATATTTTTATATATTAACTGTAATTGTTTTTAAATTTAGATAATTTAAATATATAAGTGGTTTCATGAACGTAAGCTACAAGAAAATAATACTTGAAATGATGAAGCTGTTTTGATGTCAAAAAAATGTGCGACTGATATGAAGAAGGAGAATGAAGAGATGGACAAGATGGTTGAAAGTAAACTAAGAGAACAAAATAGGAAATAAGCATGACGGAAAATTTGTTCTTGAACTTCTACAGCTTTGTTGCAATTTTTGATCATTTTATTATTATTATACATGTGAAACGGACATTATGGTCTAATTTCCAATAAGATATCGTTTTTGAAAAGTTGTGTACTGTAAAAGTATTTCATCTGAATTTGATTTTGATTGAATGAAAAAAAGTCTTACAAAACCTCATTAGAAGTAGCATAATCAGAGTAAACAACGATGAAAAAAACATGTTAGCCTACAAATATTACGTTCTTTTTTTTTATTGCACAAGAATTATTATACTATCTTTAAGGAAATTTATTCTGTACAAATCAATACAACTATCAATTGTAAATCCTATTCAAAATAAGAGAAAATAAAACTACAGAAGAAGTCAAAGGATATAAAAGAAGAAGAAGTAGAAAAGAAGACGAATAGACGACGAAGAAGTCAAAAAGACAAAGACAAAGTCATATCAATTAATCCCGAAAAGAAAAATAAAAAGGTGGATAACCCAAACTAATGAAGAGGCATAAGGATAACAAGATGGGGAAGTTGAAGAAGAAAAAGAAAAAGAATCAGACGCTTGAGAGGTTAGAGAAAAAGAAAAAAATAAGAAAACAAAGTAGTAGAAGAATAAGAGGAAGAAGAGGGGGAGTAAGAAAGTGGAAAAAAAAAAAGTTGAGACTATGAATATTATGAAAAATAAGTCAAGGAAAATAAGAAAACGGAAGAAGCAAAATACAATGAGGAAGATCAGAAGAGGAATCAGAAGAGGAAGACGACAAAGACGAGATAAATAAGAATACTAGATTAAAGAAAACTCAAAAGAAATAAGATAAAGAAAAAACAAAACTAAAAGAAGAACCAGGGGTTGGAGAAGACAAAGACGATAAAGAAGTAGAAGTCAAAGTCCCAGAAGATGTAGATGAAGAAGGAAACGAAGAAGACTAAGCAGAAGAAAAGGAAGAGAAAGCAGAAGAGGAAGAAGACAAAGACGAGATAAGTAAGAATGATATATTAAAGAAAAATCAAAAGAAATAAAACGAGGAAAAAAAAAGTAAAAGAAGAAGCAGGTGTTGGAGAAGAAAAATATGATAAAGAAGTAGAAGTCAAAGTTGTAGAGGATGAAGATGAAGAATGAAACGAGGAAGATGAGAGAAAAAAAGAGGAGGAGAAGAAGAGAGAGCTGATTAAGAAAAACTTGAAAAATACGAAGACATATATGTTCAAGATAAGGAAGGAAAACGGAAGTTGAAGATGACAAAGTATGAAAAGGTGAAGATGGGAAAGAAAGCTAAGAGAAACTTAGAACAAGAAAAAAATGTGATGAAGTATAGGAAGGAAGAAGAATATAAACTAGACGGATAAAAAACAAAAGAAAAGAAGAAGAAGAAATCGAAAAAGACAAATATTATAGAAAACAAGAAGCCCAAGATGATTAAGAAATTATGAAAAATAACATGAAGAAGAAAAATAAGAAAATAAAGAAGAGGAAGAAAAAAAAGAAGATAGAGATGAAAATGTAGAAGATGAAGAAAACAGAAAAAATAATATGTCAGAGAAGACGAAAATAATGAAAAAGAATAATCGGAAGAGAAAGACAATAACAAACCAAAAGAGAATGGAGAAACAATTGTTCGAAAAGAAAAAATGATAAAGAATAAGTTAAAGTCAAAGACAATTAAGTCAAAGAAACATAAATCAAATACGTTAAAGAAGAAGAAGGGAAACATGTGAAATAACCGATTAGAATGACAAATATTTACAAGAAAATGAAGAGAGAACTCTGGCAAATGAGAGATAAAAAGAATTACAGAGAAAGAAACTTTTGTAATTACAATATTTTAGTAGATAGAACAATATATTTACTATGGTTGTAAGATCTTTTTTTATTGGTTGAATGTCTAACATTGTTGTTATATTTATGTTTAATTTTTTATTTGTAACAAAGTTAATAATTTAATGATGTAATCACCCAATTATATTTTGTGGTAAATCTTCTGATATTATATCTTTTAGCGAAATTAAAACACATCAACTATTCTATCTTGGGGTTTTGGGATATTGGATCGCTACTCTCTTTGCCTTTGTTGTTGTTTTTTTTAGTTTGATTAGTTACAAGTTTTTTATTTTCACGTTGGATAATATTATGTAAATTACTTGTCGAAAAAAGTATTATGTAAATTACTCACAGTACTAATTTTTTCGCCTGTTTAAGTTAAACTACTAAATACGATCTCTTTATGCATCAATATTAACAATTCAAATTTATAAAAAATTAGAGTATTTGATCATCATTTTCGAAACAAATAAAAAGATTCATTTTTAACACAGTTCTGCCCGCATATGGTGCGGGCTACCACCTAGTTTCTATATAATCGTGCATGAATGGGAAACTTAGTATTCGATCACTCATATTTCTCGCAGCAGCCACAATGATAATGGCTCTCTCTTTCAAATCATAATC